GGATACTAAAACAATAGCGAGTTAAGGAAAAAGGATAGAGGGAGATTTAGGGAGATACATCGGCCGAGGAAGGGACAGGTGGTGAGTGGGAGAGGTGGGAAAGGAGAACGCAGAGGAAGGAGGAGGGGGTGGGTAAATCTCTCTTTTTTTTTTTTTTTTTCCTTCTTCTTCAGTGTTCATCAAAAGGCTTTTGCTTAGAGAGAGACTAAGTTAGAGGTAGCGGAGGACGTTGAGGAGAAGATGAGAGAGAGGGAAGGGGTGAAAAGTATTCCGGGAGGAACATCCTAACTTCAGTCATGCCCCGGTGAATGTGCTGACAGGGTCTGTCTGCGTCACAGCAGAGCAAGTGTCATACACCGAGACAAACCGCACTGCGCCGCAAAGGACAAGATGAAACCGACACTACTTAACCCACAACACAGAAGTTTCCAACAACACACAAACCGTGGATGCAGTTTTACAGAGTGGGAAAGTTTGAAACATGTAAGTTAAAAGGGAAACTACAAAGACTTCACATAAGTTCAACCTATCCTCCTAAAGAGAATGATTACACCCCGAAAACAGTTGTTAACGTCCTGCGGGCACTGATGTTAGCTTTCTGAAAACTGAAATATTTACTCCATCATGAATGTATGATCGATTATGTTTTAAGTATGAAACCTAGTCAGAGTTGGTCTTTTAATATGATGCACTGGACGAGTGTATTGTGGGATGTCATATCACACTGTGCTAGTGAATCTTTGACGAGGCACAATAAAGCTCACAATGAATGATCCAATTGTCAACTAAGTTTCCTTTTGAATCCTACCACAGAAAGAAGTTAAAGTCAGATCTATGTATTTTTCAGTTGTCTCATATGCACGGCTCAAACACAAACACCATCAGAAATGCTCTCGCTCTCTCACACTGGGGCGTCACCAACAAGCACAAGCTAGCAACCTGTCAGCTGGAAGTCAGCAACTTTTGTGCAAATGTTTCTCTCATTCATATCTTTCATGATCAGATGGGGTTGCCAATGGGCTTTCATACACTGTGTATAAAACTAGCCTTTCATTTGGGGAACCGGCTTGTGGCTCTGCTCACCATTTGAGAATATGCAGTCGTTTCAAACAAACCATAAATCCATCCGACAGGTCGGGAGCAGCTGATCGGACTGTGATCGGCCCTTTTGTCCACACGGCTTGACTTAAAACACTTTCATCTAACTCAAAAATTGGGTCAGAAACAGCCTGAATTCGCATGGAATATTGTGGCTTTGGCAGGGTTGCCAGGTCCTTTGGACAAAGCTGTGACTGTAAAATAGGAGTGGACATAGGCGCAGAGGCGTCGCTCATGGGTTTATTGTTTTTTAGCCAAGAATTTGGGGAGTGACCATTATTAGATGACAGATTGGACACTCATCGTCATGCTTCTATCTTGATATGTGTTGCTAAGGTAGCAACTTGTAGATCACAGGTAGCGATAACCTTAAGCATAGCCTGTTTTAGTGTATTTCAAAGGACCGGAATTGACAAAATAACATGTTGTATTGAGAAACACTTTTGAGCCCATATACTTATTCGAAGATTTTTTGCTGAGGAAAAAGATCAATGCAGAAGTACAAATTATTCTCTTATAATCTTACATACCAAAGGACATGTCACTTACAAAAGCAGGTTTAGATTGTACTCTATGTTACAGAGACCCAACATGAATCCACCATGAGTAAAACACATTTAGAAAGAAGCAGGCAGAAACCTAGAACCAGACTCATGTTGAACAGCCACAGAGTGAGACACAATCAGAAAAAAATGCCATGGTCACTTCTTATTGAACTAAAATATTAGGTTTGCAGATAGAGAGATACACGAGACAAACAACAAGAGAAGAAACAACAAAAACCACATCAATTAATAAAATAAAGAGATTTTTACATTACCAATAATAATTGTAAAAGTATTTACAATCAAGTGATCAGTCTAATACTGACATTAAAGGGATACTTCACCCGTTGAAACATGAATCTGTATTGACATTGGGTCATATATGTAGTAGAAATGTGAAATACATTTTGAAGTTGGTGCCTACTTGGCTGAAAAAAGTCAGAAAGTGTCTTTTTGGCTCATGTGGATGAAAGACACCTAATCCCAGAATGCACAGCACCGCATCCCACTCCCACTAAGTTCCTCTAGTTCAGAATCAGAAATACTTTATTAATCCCAGAGGGAAATTCGATCGTTACAGTTTCTCCAAAATATAAGATATAGCAGTAGAAATAGCGTAATAAAAACATTTACAGACATATTTACTTCAACACATGAGGCCATTTCCTCAATAGATTCAGAGATTTCTTCCAGAATTGGTATCTTGGAAATTTCTGTCAGAAAACAGACTCTATGTCTGTGTCCATAGGCAAACAGTGAGAGTGCAGACACTACCAGTCCGCCCCAGCTCAAGCCGGAACGGGCTCCTCGTCCTCACCGCCGCCGTCAGTCAGGCCTTATGTCTCGGCTACTGAGCTGGCAGGGGCCGGGGGCGGCCAGCAGTATAGCAATATAGCCGCGAGACGGTTGCTGCCGACAGGCTGGTCTTGTGTCGCTGCAGCCCTGGTGGCCAGTGGTCTCGCTGCTATATTTATATTTTTTCGCCATTATCAGCTTTCTCCATGGAGTCTGTTAGCATAGCTTCCAAGCAATATGGCGGACGTTAAATTTTGATTCTGAGAGTGAGTTCCCACCCACTGATCTGTGATTGGTCTGTAGCTTCAGTGGTCGAAAATATGAGGAACTAGCGTTGTCGTTTCACCCCGCTAACCGCAACAGCTTCCAGTGACGCAAAAATCCTCATTTTGCGTCACTGGAAGCTCCTTTTCAGACTGAGCGCGAGATGCACGACCATTCAAAAATACTACCAGGTTTCTAATGATACAAAGCTTAATGCAAATGGGTGAAGTATCCCTTTAACAACAGTAATGACAATGACAAGAGTTCCATTAACATTTTGATGATAGACATAAGACAGATATGAATAGATGTAGTAGGAGTCACAGAGACCAAACCATAGGAGTCTCGCCCTGATGGACATTAGAAAGAATGCACTTCAAAGGCACATAATCATCAGCTTCACTTCTGAAACTTAAAAAGCTACACACACTTCCTTAATTTATTCTACAGGGGAAAAAAAGCCCAGTGGCAAATCAGAATCAACCTCACACGAAATCAAAAAACACACCTGCCAAACCATATACACTGCTTTCAAAGTTCACCGGCATTGCTATCATTGGCAAGCGTGTAATAGTGCGTACAAAGTCACAACAGAAATGTTTATTGTGTCAGCATTAAAAGCAGTTTTCCCTCGACAGTCCTTCAGATGCTGTTGTGTCTCTGATGTGCTTCACTCTGTGATGTACAGTAACAACTCTTTCATCTTGCTGCTGACGGGCAGGTTGGCGTGTGTGTGTGTGTCTGTGTGTGTGTGTGTGTGCGTGTGTGTGTGTGTGTGTGAGTGTGTGCGTGCGTGCGTGCGTGCGTGCGTGCGTGCGTGCGTGTGTGTGTGTGTGTGTGTGTGTGTGTATGTGTGTGTGTGTATGTGATTGTGCTTGCTGAATGATCCAGAGCCGGTTTTGTACGTTTTTTTCATAAATAAATGATTTCAGTTAAATTATGGAGTTTTATTTAAAGTTATTATTCATGTGGTTTGCATGCAAAAGAAGTCTTCCTAACCCATGGAAAAAATATCCCCTCCCCGTGGCTACACTTCAAAAGCAGCCGGATTCCTGCAGACCTGGCAACCCTAAGTTTCTGGTCAGTACTGACATTATGGAAAAGTTTTCCCGTTATATTGTGAGCTCGACTGAGAGCATCCTTTGATTTAAATCTCTCCGTCTGGTATGAGCACTCGTCCTAAGAAAAAAAGAAATAAGATGTAGAGGTTTGTTAAAACAGCAGGAATGATCTTCTGCCGCCAACGCAAGCCATTAGACGACCTTTGCAGCACAGCTGGTCGGGCTGTCAATCATAAAAGACAAAACACAGTCACTCCAGCATGACTTTTCCACCTCAGAATAGAATAAATCAAAACCATTTATGAGGGTTCTGTTAATGCAATAAATGAGGTTAAAACTACAGCATACTTTAACTGAGAGTGGAGTCAGGATATATTACCATCTCCTGCCTTCAGTTCAACTATTCTTCCTCCAGCATTATGGAAGTGCATCAAATCGTTGGAGTGCCCTATTGAAATAGTAATTTTCTGAATCACACATGCTTGTCTTTTTTCCGCACACATATTACTGAAAAAAGTTCTTCATATCACTGACGTGTCAGATGCATAGGCTGATGTAACTGAAATACTAGTGATGTTTGCCTGTTCTCATCTTAAAGTGAGTGCTCTGATTGATATCTGACATTTGGATTCGGCGTAGGATTTTCATTTCAGTCTTGAGTGCATAAGAGACACGCTAAGAGTCTGCCTCAGATGCATGAGAAACCGAGGAACCTTTTTTACATCGCTCAAGGCACGGAAGCACAACAAAGTGCATCTGCATCTACGTCTTGCATCTGTATTGACATTCTCTAACTGACTGATCAAAGCACAATATTAATCCAGCTAATTAATCACGCATCAAAGCGATATGAAGCTGCTTTCTGTTGAAGCTTGTCCTCCTTTGCGCTGCAGTCAGAAATCCTTGACAGTTGTTCTCATTACTAAGTGCTCAGAGCGTTTTCTAATACTGTTATCCTATCTTTTTCCATGTAGAATAGTACAATGATAACTTTGTCCCCGTCTATCTAATAGATGTCTGAAAAAATACTTGGGTCATTATGAAGGTATAAATGGATGTGTGTTCAGGGCCTGAGAAGCCCCCTGTGCTTGTGAAAATGTGATTGCTGCTCTGTTAAAAGGTCCGTCCTGCCTGCTTGTCTGTGAATTCTCCTACCTGTCTATGCCGCTGCACTTTTAATTAACGCAGTGCAATGATTAAAGTTTTAACTTAATTATCTTTATCTTTTTCCTCTCAGGGTGTTCAGACCTCCTTGGGAAACTGAATGAGACGCTTCGCAAGACGAGCGGGAAAAAAACAGCGGAGGGAGGCTTTGGTGAGATAGAGGAAGACACAAGGAGAAAGAAGAGAGAGAGAGAGAGAGAGAGAGACGGAGTGACTGACACCTGCCCTCCAGGTCTGTGTGAAGGGCAAAGCATGGGGGAGTGAGAGGAGGGACGTGAAAAGGGAAAGGAGAATGAAGACAACTGGAAAACAAGGCCTGCCTCACAGCCAAGCTCACTCAAATTAGGACACCTCGCAGCAAGACAAGATGATTACAAGAAATCTGCTCCTACTGGTTTCCCTTTGCCTGTGGGGGGGGCTTGTGGGAGGTGCCTTGGCCAGTAAGACCTTACGTAGGAGAGGAGTGGGCGGATCACACGTAGTGAAGCTAGCGGACAGCAGAGCTACGGACCAATGGGATGCAAGCGTGGATGCTAATTCGATGCCTGTGGTGACTCTTAGAAACTTGATCAGTCACGAGCAGGCAGGTGACTCTGGATCTTTCTCTTATTCCAAAATGTTGCAAAGTCATGCTGCTCCACAAATAGCCAGCAAGGAGAGGCAAGCTTTTAAACCCAAGCGTGAGGTTGACTCAGTCAGTAAAAAAGAAGGGACTCTACACATATTAGCCAACAACAAGGAGTTAAACCAGGATGTGAAGAAAGTTAGGAACAACACCAAGAACTCTGAGACCTTTGCCAAAACAGGAAGGTCAGAGAAAATATTTGCTATCCATCATAAGCCAGATGGACACAGCAATAGAACCAGGTCTAAGTCAGGGTCCAGATCCAGAAGTAGAAGTGATATGAGTGTCCATACTACAGGGGTGCCAGGGAAAGGATTCAGCGTGGACTCGAGCAGAAAGTTGAACCTCACTGGCAGTTATGGCGTCCTGAAGCTGCTGTCGAAGGAGAACTTAGTCAGGATTGTCAACTCCCAAATGCAGAACGTCCCCGTCCTGAGCTTTCCGAGCAAGGGCAGTCGGAGCAGGAAGAGAGATTTGATTGACGTTAATCACGGACAGTTAGAGGCTCAGAGAGTGCAGAGACAAGATATAGCTGTCACTCAGTTTCAAACTGGATTTGATAATCAGACTGCATATCCGTATGTAAGCCCTGTCCCCACTCCAGATCTTAATCAGGACCAGGGCGCCAACACTCATAATAATCCTCTAAGTGCAGTCAATCCAGCTTCAAGTAAAGGGCATGGTTCTGATAGTGGAGATAATAAGAGCAAACACCTCGCCCGCTTACTGTCAACACCTCGCAGCGAGGTCAGTCTCAGCCCCGAGAAAGAAATAATAGGCAACCAAACGGAGCCACCATTTACATCGACAAAACATTTCCCACTGTTCGCTCCCTCTGAAACAAATGATTCTCCGCCGTCTGTGCTGACAATGCAACCCCTGGGAGTAAGAGCGGAGAACAGAGCAGCAGATTCCCATGGAGACCCATTAACAGAGTCAGCTCACTCTGCTCAAACAGAAGCCAGCACAGCTCAGTACCCTGCAGATGAAGACAACAAACTTGTCAACAGCAGTCATGTCCTGAGGCTTCATCCGGCTCCCGAATGGAGCCGCGATGTAGAAGGCGTTGGGGTGCCAGCTGTCGAGCCAGAGAATGGGAAAGGCCTCGTGTTTGAAGAAGCAGAGGAGTCGGAGTCGGTGGACGAGGAGATGGCTGACCGGATGGAAAAGAAGGGGCCGCGCTCTCGCAGCAGGAGGAGCTGGATCTGGAACCAGTTCTTTGTGATTGAGGAGTATGCCGGGCCTGAACCTGTGCTCATTGGACGGGTAAGGACAAAGAAAAAACTTCATTCAACATTTACAAGGGCTGTGAACTATTTAATGAATGTTTAATGAATGTTTAAGAATCTGTTACAAGTCTACTACATGGCTTTGTCTTACCTCAGGTCCTGCCGGTACACACCTTACAATATAACAGTTAGCATAATCTAACCTCAGAGTCATACTGCGAGTTTTTTTGTGCATTGTAATGAACCTGCAATTGGAATTGATTTACATCGCTCCACTGCCATGTGGTGCCTTCCAGGTAGCCGTAAAAACCCCAATGAATCCATGGTGCATTGAGGCGTGACAAAAGGCACAGATCACATCTCCCCAAGGGGCGAGTCATGATCTCCTCCAATCCGCACCCACCAAAGGGAATTGACATATCCATGAGAATTAATAGGTTTACTTTTTCCCTCCACCATTGATCCCCACCCCAAGGCGAGAGAGCAAGAGTAGTCGGAGTGTTCCCTCATTTCCCTGTAGGTCAGGCCTGTCAGCTCTCCTCCCTCATGGTCAGAGGTCTGCAAGGTCTCGCTAATGCTATTTCATTTGGACTGATTTACACTTGGTTTGACAGGATTTATCGCCGCCTTCTCCCTTAGTACAACACACACAGGGCTGAAGTCCTAATGCTCTGCAATGTAATTTATTACAATCATTGACTGGGCATGTCTCACCCCCGCTGCCCGATGCACACTCCCACCTCGGCTTGACAGAATGAGCAGATGAGCGTGAAGGAGGTCACGTGGACCGGCGCGAAGGTGTCTCCGAGTCCTGTATTGTAATGGTTTCACTCTCAGTCCTCAGCATGTGCCGACTGTCTCAGCACCCATCTGCTGTCGATGAGCCAATTTATAAGCCCGCGTGGCCAGTTTGCTGAGCAAATGAATAGTAGTGATCCCTGTGTGACTGCTGCAGGCTGTTGGACTCCACAGAGTGAGAGGTTTGGGTGTGTTTGTGTGAGTGCTTGAAGTTCATCTGATGGTTAAGAGCTTCAACTCAGTGGGAAATCTCTCACACTCAATAGACAAAAGATCAAATGTACTCTGTGTTTTTTTTTCAATACCCAGGAGCCGAGTGCAGCATCCGGGCGTACGCTGGGGTACTCGGGCATAAACTGGTGTTACTTAGCTACTACGGCACCAGTGGGACTTAAGCTCTGTTTGTGTTGCTCCTGGGTGTAACTTTTATGACTACGTTTAGACTGTCAGACAAGTATCCAAGGTAACACAAATGGAAAAAGCAACAGTCACAAAACTTTAAAGGAAAACACATGGAAGAGTGTTTTTGTTAACAGGGTGACCACACCCCCATGTACAGAGGCTATAGTCCACGTCGCAGTGGCAGCGGGTTTGAATCCCTCCTCGGCCCTTTGCTTGCTGCATGCCGTACCCCACACTCTCCTTCCAACATTTTCCAATCTTTTCAGCTGTTCGATCTGTTAAAGGCAAAAATGGCCCAAAAAAGCAACTTAAAGTGACAGTGAGCTAATCGAAAAGTTTTCGTTTTAGCATGAAAGCCTTGTTTGAATTAACTGAAGAGTGTGCGTCCACGTATAGCTTTTCTCTCTCATTGTGTCTTAACCATCAATTAGTAGAAAATAGTGATACATTAATGATTAAATAAACCTGGGGATGCCTCATATAGTTGGATGCATTGACAGGGATTCTGTGTTGGTGTATATTGCTATCTGTCCAGTATATACATGTACATATATACTGTATATTTTTGCTTTGTATTTCCACATTATCTGTATTTATTTTCTGTTTATAGTTTGGCAACAGTCATTGCTCCACAAGTGTTAAGACCGGGTACACCTTTTGGCTATTCTCAGTTAGGCTTGGTGCAAATTCAAGTGAAGAAGTTGGTTGAAGCTAAGTCGGGCGTAGAGTGTAAGACTTCATTTTGTATGCCCAGCTGGTGCACTTGGCTCCAGGTGCACACAGTCAGGCAGGACCTGCAGCCTACATGAGGAGCCTCTCTAAGTGCACCGTGATCAGCCAACATTTAATGTGGTTGTTTTTGCCTTTGCACCTTGACTGATGATAGTCTAAACTGAATGCTACAAAGCACCGTTAGCCGCCATAGAGAAGATGGAGGAGCTAACGGTCCAGCTTACAGATGGCACTGTGTGTAAAGCCATTAGTGCCAATCTGCTGTGTCAAGCAGGTGTTTATGCCAGCACATTGTATGGCACTCAAGGAGGGAACCATGCCAGGCCACACACACATGCCCATATGATAGTGCTGACACTTGGAGTTCACCCAGACAGCTATTGTGACCATGTGTTTGTGTGTATGTGTGCTGGGCTGGAGATGCGTATGATTAGTACCACACTGTATAATACAGTGACGGCACACATGAATAATGCTCTTATAGATCTTAATACGCTTATGAATTTTTAATCTCCTGCTCTGCTCCATGTAGGCTAGCGCTATAGGCAGAGGGATCAATGCGGATGCGCTACCTTGTTTTTCTCTCGATCAGGGACCTGATTATGCTTTAATGGAGAGAGCTGAGATGAAGGGTGTGAAGAAAAAATGACTATACAGGCCAAGAACGACTCCACCTGCCAGGTCCGACACCTAAATTCCGGCTCAGTCAGATGCTAATTCTGTTGCCTGTGACTCACAACACGTGTCTCACTTTTCGTTGGCTGTATCTGCGCACTCACTAAAACACACAAACCGCGTACATCTAAAGGTGTGAATCCGTATTTAATTGTGGGCTCCCTTTAACAGGCCGCCTGCTAACACTGATTCATGCTGTGTTTTTGTGTGATCGCAGACAGCTCGGTTTGGGATAAATCTCTACTAAAGCTGGAAACAAGAGCCAGGACTCTAATCTGTGATGTCAATGAGAGACAAAGGATCTGCAGCTAAACTGATAATGAATTTGGGGGCCAACTTTGTGGATGCACTGACAGCACCGAGTGTAGTTTAGCACAGATATTTATACATTTTTTTTCATTTTTTTTTTCAAATTGTTAGAAAGCCATATAAAGAGGCCCAGCTCATTTGGAATTAAGTCTGAAAGACTCAGCCTACGAGTCACCAGCTGTCCATTCACTGTTTTTCAGAGCGGAGCTTGATACGTCGTAATACCGTCAAAGATCTGAGTTTTTGTGTTTACTGTAGCATCTCGCATTTGGAGAGTTGTTATGGTTCACAGGAGTTGCCAAAAAGGGCATGAAACATTCTGAGTGGTGAATTGTGTGACTCAGTTTCCTGCCCTCTATCAACGCGCTCGCTCTATCTCTGTCTCACACACACAAAACATGCACACGCTCACACAAAGACACGCGTGCACACAGACTCGCAGACGATGCTGTGTTACTATATTTTCTCACGCTGGAGTGTCTCTGCCCCGTGATAATTGTGAATTTAATTGATGCTGTCACATGGTCTGTAATGGGGTTTCAAGTGATTGCAGAGGCAGTGTGAAAGAAACACAGATTTTTCTTGAGGAGAAAAGGCGCCTCAGCAGAGCTGGGATTAAGAAGAAAAAAAAACCCCACCACTTTCTGATTAGCTTTTCTTCCATCCTCACTGCTCTCTTGAAATGCAAACTCCCTAACACCTCATGTGGGGAGGAAACGTGACATATATAATCGTTTCTTCCTCTGTGTGAGGAAATTCAAGCTTTTCCATCCTGCCCTGCTTCACCTTTATATCAACTAAAGTGTTTGAGCTACCTGTAGAGACGCTAATACGCATACGTAATTCAGCAGGAAAATGAGCTTAGGCTACCATCATTAGCATATCATTAATTTCAGTGTGAACATACATAATTCATAATTAGTGAAATATCCCTGTGTTACACAATTAACATTTTTGTCTTTGCCACACATGACACTCACGCTACAGCAAAGCATGCATAAAAAAAACATGCGGACATAAATGGGAATCAGTAATTAAACACTTTGTGTTGGATTCTGACACTCCAAACGATACCAGCCGTTCCCACCATAGCTTAAACAGAGCTTTCTCATTATGGGGAATCATTCATTAACATTCAGTGCTGGAAATTGCCCTGCAAAACGCAGTTAAAAGAGTCCAGCAGCCCGAGGGCTTCTCAAGATATATAAATAACACAGTTATTGACTGTAGCTTTATTGGTGCCTCCTGCGCCTCCTTTCGGAGCCTCCGGGTGCAACGTGCACACACATGATATTGTGGAATTGGCCCGCGGGAAGCTGACGGTGTGATGCAAGGACGAGAAGGAGGCTGTCACAGGAAGTTAAGGGTTGGTGTTTGAGACTGTGTTAGCATGTGTGCACATAATGTTTTCTCTGATGCTCACTCGAGCAAAGCCTTACTGTCATCAGAGACAAGCCAGTGGTGGAAAGTAACTTTGTACGTTTATCCAAGGCATGTTGTGGGGTAAAAAGCTTCTTCTTCATGATTTATATTTTATGTTACTTTATGCTTCCACTCAACAGTATTTTACAGCTGGAAATGAAACCTTAATATCACTTGTACATTCAGCCATAGTGACTACTTTTGCAGATAAAACATTCATTTATACATGACTAATAAAACAAAATAGTTATTAAAGGAGTAGAATACCTGAACCTCATTTGCTTCTTCAACATATAAAACTGTGTTTATCTCCAAAAACAGTCTAAGGATTATATAATTCTCTTAAAGCGCCCTTTCTGCATTTGCCATACTTTTTGTATTAGGTTGTAATTATTGATCTAAATAAGTATTTGAATTACTGTTTCTGTGAAACAGAGGAAATGCTCCAAAAGTTTGACAACATACCCAGATTGTCATCATAATTATCTCTGCTTGGGGTTCAGAAAATTATGCTTCAAATTGGATGAAAAAAGTCTGTTTTTTATGTAAGTGTTATCAGCTGTCTTTCTTAGTAAAATATCAAGTTATAGAAACCTTCTGATGGTACCCCTTTATGGTTATAATCCCTAACGTTTGGAAATACCAAACACACTTTTGGTACTAATTACAGCTGACCTTTCTTCTGCTATAGTTTTTCAT